ACGTTTTTATTTTAAGCCTTAAAATCACTCGAATGAATGTATTTATTTCGATCAATCTCTTTTAGTACAAGCGAGTATGGATTTTAATTCACACATGTCAATCATGTTAGGAAACCTGACTGGCCATTATATTTCATCCCAGTTCAATTTCACTGGGGAGATGATAATTCTGCTGGATCAGCGCATGTTCTTTTCCTATGGAGGTAAGTGTACAATTATACTTTATCATTTCTTATTCATCTTTATGTAGTCATTATTTATTCATTAATCTGTCCTCAGTAAAGTTTTCTTAACCTTGGATATTATTTAGACAAATTCAATTTGTCAAACAGCGTAAAAAGTAGAAAAATATGTACGAAAAAAAATTACAAAACAAAATTAATATAGTCAAAACGTTGCCAGATAACAAAATTAAATAAAGCAGCTCTGAAAATTATCCTTATAGATAACCAATATTTGATCAATCAAGTTCATCTGATTTTCTTAATATCTTTATCTTTATTATCATCCTCTTCACAACAAGCACCTCTAATAAAAGATTCGTGTGGTTAATCAATATTTGACTAAAAACACTAACGTCTTCATGATTTTTTATATTATCACCTATGTCGCAATTGTGCCTCATATCAGGGATGAAAATGACACTGGAAATTATAAACATTAGACTCGGAATGAATAATATTAAGTTATCGCTTTCTTTAGTCTATATAATTGTTTATATATATTTTTAAATATGATCGACTGAGACAGAAAGCAGTGAGAAACCAAGGCCGAAATTTATTCATGTGTTGGTGCATTCTATCTATCTATCTATGCCATATTCACACAACTTCCTTTACTTTTGTTTTTATCACAACGCTTCGGTCATTGAATTCTCTGGTCTTTCTCAAGTTTATATTGTACTTGGGCTATATTGAAAATTATTGTTGTTGTTGTTATTTATTTATTTCATAATATCAATGTTTGACATTCGATTTTATAAAGTATTCCAATGGAATATTTGGCAAGCTTTGGGTTAAATAAAAAGTACTGAAAAATATCTACGCATTACTTTATCCAATATACATCTGAGGAAGACACTTCCGCTGGCAAGCTGTTATTAAAATAACAAATAAGCTAATATTGCAATATTAGTTTGAATAATTTACGGAATCATGTCAATGTTTAATTTCATATTTTCGCTTAGCATGAATTTAAACAACTAATTGTATTCTTATATATACTTTTGCATTTAAAATTTTGTAATTTTTATTTTTATTGCTATTTTCTTGTCGGATGCATATTGTGCATTATGCTGAGCGATACGATAACCATTCTAATGCACTTCAGTATTCGGATGGACTTACTCTTTTGGGATTTATGTTTGAGGTAAAGACATTAAATTACCTAAGCATTAGAATTATTAATAGCGAATAGTAACTCTGTTTGAGCAAAATTTCACCTTTGTTAGCTTCAGGTACGTAGCAAAAAAGCGAAAAAATCTAATCTACAAAATACAACAGAAAGATGTCAAAAAGTCGAATTTATACTTAATATAAAAATAAAGCTCTACACAGAATGTCAAAAGTCTATAATGCTAGCTGTTAGACAGAAGATATGTTACATTTTTTTATTTATAAAAGCTGGAAGAGAGGAACGCGTAGAATAAAAGAGTATTGGAGGTTAGTGATAATAAAAACTGCAATACTTTCTTTTCTAAATATAAAATAGATAAATATATATATTTCGATGGCCTTTGACAAGGTGTGGCACAAGGATTACTACACAAACTTGCCAGCTATGAACTCTCTGGGCGTCCTCTCTGTCATCCAGTCTTTCATGTAACGGTCATCTTTAATAGCCATTCCTCACATTAGATCAAGAGGCACATGAGATCAATGCTGGCATCCCCCAAGGCTCTCTTCTCGGTCCTACTCTCCTTCTGCTTTATACAAACGTTCTACCCCAAAACACTTTCAGATCCTTAGTAACGTGTATCTGTAAATCTCCAAATACCACGATTACCAGCGCCTGGCAGGTGAGCTCTCCTCTGACCAAACTCAAGCTCAATGGGGAAAAGACTGGCCGGTATCATTCAATAACTCCAAAATAAAGCTGGTAACATTTCATTACCGCTGAGCAAAATCTAAACCTGCACTAGTCCTGATTAGTGTCCATACCTTCAAAGAGGCTACTTACCTCAAACGTTTACTGGGTCTAAAGTTCACTCCCGACCTGAAATAGAACGTGTATATTCGTACCGTTGCAAAAGATGCTGTATCGACCCAGAAAATACCTAATTTCTGCTACCATGCTCTATCTTTACTATCAGAAACAGATGGAGTATTACTGCCACATCTTAGCTGGTATTGTCCAGTCCTCACTGCCCAGCCTCGACAATGTTCAGAAGCGATTACGCGGCCTTGTGGGTGATCTCCATCTTACAACCCTTATTTCACAGACGAATCATCGTTAACCTGTTACTATGGCAGATTCCTTATTTCTACCAGCTCAGACCTTCACAGCTAGTATCCGCCACGCCATGTTCACGGTGGCAAATCATTCACATTCCTTTCGTCTACATTTGATAAAACCCAAGTTCCACTCAGACAGCTTCTTCCCCAACTGTTACTTTGTGGAACAAACCCCAACAGAATGCTTCTCTGACAACTAAAATATTGGTCTCTTCAATTTCAGGATTTCATGTCCTCATAATATGCACTACTTTCTTCCACCTTTCTTACTCAGTAACCTTCTACCTTTAGAGGTTCTTGGGCCTTGGTGAACAGTGTAAAAAATACGTACGACTGGGTATGTATATGTTATGGTCCAAGGTTAGGACCATGGAAGAACAACACGAAACACAACAGTAGAAATAACAAAGAATATGTCACACAAGAAATAATACAAGTGAAAGGGTTAGTAAGACTGCCCGACTGGTTTGGCGTGACTGCTGTCAGCTCAACTCGATTCAATACCGTCCCAATACCAAATTCGTTCGTCTCTCTTGAGAGGCGTAGTATATATAGCCTTCGGCAGAGTTCATTCTTTTGGTCTAGGTAGGCACCATGGCAGTATATTTGTATGAATGGCCGAGTTCTTATGTGAGAATGAGTAAGAAAGCGCTTAGAGGGAAAATTTTAAAATCTCTGAAAGTGCTGAAATGGTTATTTTCAAAATTTATAAGTTTCGGTGAGGTTATAAAGAAAACCATACTTATCCGAGCTTATAAAGAGACAAATATTGGGAAAGGAGAAAAAAAATTATAAATTTATGTAAATGAATGGTTATCATGTTTAAATCATAACCCTAGCCTAACCACCATTCGTGTCAGCATTTTTCTCTCTTTTGTTCGTATGATAAGATCGTATCTTTTAATAACGAAAAATGTGAAGCTATGATTGTTTAAGAATAATTAAAATTTGATTAAAAAATTAGAGGCGGAGGGATATAAGTTTCTTATTTTATGTGCATGACATGGGTGATTATGGCTCTCCATAACTTCTTTTCCATTGTAGCTCTTAATACTTTGTTTAGCTTTTCTGAATTCAATGCGCCTTTGGACACATTTTCCGTTAACTTTTAAAACACTTCCCACATATTTAAATGTTTATACTTGTTTGATTTTGATTCCCAACTTGTAACTCGGGTCCTGGACTGTTTCTCTTACTAACAACCATATAATTTGTCTTCCATCAATTGATGGTGCATCCTTTCTTTTCGCTACTTCTTTATTACTAGGAGTTTCGATAGATTTCTTCCTTTGTTTAACATAAACATTGTTTCACCTGTGTCTCTTTTTAAGATCGTACCAATCGATAATAAATCCTGGTAGGAATTCTAGTTCTCATTTGTCATTTGGCTGTATAAATTGAATAAATATGGTAAGAAGACATATTTACATTCATTTACTTACATTCCTTTCTATATTTATGGACTTAATACATTTTCTATCTCTATGCAGACCGTTTGCTTCCGTTATATATTCTGGATTATTCGAATAAGTCAAGTTTTCCTAGCAGATCAAAATGTTTTTGTGTCGTATTCATCTAATGCTTTTGCATAGTCTATAAAACTTTTGCATTTGTATTGGTTTCTCTTATATAATTTTGGACATGATATTACTTTTTTGTTCTAGTGTCTTTAACAAAACTATGCTGTTCTCTTCCTATTTCCGCTTTAATTCTGCTATCTTACCTCAGACTAATATTTCAGGTCCTTCCATATTTTTGTGTATTCTTCGTTTCTATCTTTCGACGTGAACGTGTTCAACATATTTGTTCCATGTTTGAAATATTCTTTCATTTTCTATTTTTAAAAATTATTTTCCCACTTCTGATGTTATTTATCTTCTCGATGAGCACGTTTATTCATTTTATCTGTTTTATGTATCTCTGCATCTGTATCTATGATGACGATTTTTTCTATCTTTGCACACTTTGTTGAGCCATTCCCCTTTTGCTTACCTCATTTGTTTCTGATGCTAGTGTTTATTGTTCTATATTTTGTACCATTACTTTCCAGTGATTTCTCTCCTTTTTTATAATCTTAAGAATTATATCAGTCATCCACTTCTTTTTTGTCTTCATTCATTAAGACTTTTAAAAATATAATTAAAAATGAAAAGTGCACATAAAACAGTGAAAACATGACGGAAAAAGGAAAAAAGTGTAACAGAAAATTATATATAAGAATTTATCTTTTAAAATTCACAAAACAGGATTATGTAATCATTAGTTTCCTTTTTAAACAAATCTAAACAAAAATTATCGTAAATCTTATAATTATTAATGTTTTTTGAGAAACTGAATTAATTGTTTTCCACATATTAAATCAATTTGAAAAAACCTATTGATTAAAATCATTTTATGCTAAATTTCTGTCTAAACCTGGACACAACATTCTTTGCTATTCTTTCTCATTCATTCATTATTTGCCTTAATTTTTCTTATGTTCATTTATTCTTTTTGTGTGCTTTAATTCTTTTCCTCCTTTTCTTGGTTCTTTAATCAATCCATTACTTAGGCATTTTTGCTTCTTTCATTGATCTCCGCTACATTATAACCGAGGTCATTGATTTCTTAAAATTACACCCAACGTATATATTATTCATCAGATAACAGCCAGGTTCTTTGACGTTATCTTTAATGCAAGAATCCAAAATTTCGTATCCTTTTTGAAGCTTTCTACCAACCTCAACTGAAAGCTAAAGGATTATATTTTCTAATTCCAGAAAAATACTGTGTAGTAATTCAAATAGAAATTTGAATGATTTTTCGTCGATGCTTCCGAAAAAAAACAATCGAAACGGCCATTTTTAACTTTTTTTAGAGAAATGTAAACGAACTTATTTTTCAGTTTTAAAATTCCCGCTAAAATAAGATATACATTTCTGAAACGTTACTTTCGTAAAATTAGCAAATTTAAAGTTAAATAAATCTGTTGTGAAACAAATATCACTTATAGCATAAAATTTTCTAGACAAACATTTATTGATATTGGGGTGTTGTTATTTTCACGTCTCTATCGATAATTTGATGGATGAATGTGTTGACAAACATTTTTGACATCGAGATATTGTTATTTTCATGTCTCTATCGATAATTTGATGGTTAAATGTGTTGATAGGTTTAGCATGATGCACCAGAATTGACATAATTTTACGAATTCTAAGTAAGAACATTTTTTTTTGTTTCTTACTATAAAAATTTCTTACATTATTGAGTTACCTCTATAATGGTGTTTCATTGTTTAATAGCTAAGATAATGATAAATAATTTTATTAATTAATAATATAAAATTAAGTTATTACATTTTTAATTTAATAACTGAGATAATAATTAATAAAATAATTAAATTATCTGTTATTAATTGTTTAAATTAATAAATAAGGTAATTTTATTATCTCAATTTAATTTTTAAAAACTGAGAGTGAGATAATTTAATAACTATCTCACTCTCAATTATTACATTTTTAAATTGATAACTGAGATAATATAATGATTTCAATTATATTGTCTCAGTTATTAAATTAAAAATAAAATTATTAGCTGACTCTCAGTTATTAAATTTTTAACCAACTGAGATAATATATTTATATATTTTTTATTATTAATTGCTATACTTTGGTGGTTATAAATTGTTAAATTTATTTTATTTAACTCGCAAAAAAGAAAAGAAACTTAAAATAAACTAAAAACAAATTAAATTTTTTTTCTTAACTAAGTAAAAAACCTAATAAATAAAAGAATTATGCATGACACACACTATGAATAATTAGATAGTTTTATTGCGGCTTTTATTTTACGATTTGGAGCAGATTTTTAAAAAGGTAGGAGTAGTTGTGAAAAAAAAATTGATGATTTCCTTTTTCTAAGAAGTTCAGCTTATAGGTAATATAAAACAATTTTCGTATTCTTTGAAATTTTAGAAAATTTCATGAAATTAAGTTACGGGGGGATAACAGCTGTAAAAAAAAAAATATTTTTACCAAGATTTTCTAAAAATAAAAATTTCAAAAATAAATTCATTTATTTCCTGAAAATTTCATTAAAATCCGCAAATTATTTGATTTTTGCAAGAATTTCCAAATGAATGTATTTTCCCCTGGAAACTGCTACACAAAAAAATGTCCATTACCACAAGTCTTACAAAATTAACAAAAAAAATCCCTGAAATTTTTGAGCCAAATTTAAAACGTGTTAGAAAGGAGGAAAATTTTTTTTTTAAATAATTTAAAAAATACGTTCTTTCCTCTTAATAATAAAATAAACATTTTGAGGTTAAAACTTTGTTTTTATTAAGTTTCGGACCATTTGTCATCATGCTATACTGTTTTTTAGCGTATTTTTGGAGGTATTTAAAGAGACTGTTACATATTCCGATCTAAGATCTATGTTACTAAGTATTACACAAATGCGCTTTAAATAAATATTAATTACATTACTTATAGCAGTGGCATGGCTACTTATGTTTATGTTTCGACAACGATGTTAGTGTTTGTGTTTATGCGTTAAATGGAACGTGATAAGCTGGGGAAGAGAAAGAGAGAATACAAGTCAAACCATGTGCTCGTCTATGTGCAATAATGTATTTGTGTTTCAAGTCGTTTATGCATTTAATTAGCTATTTTACTCAGTCTTCAAGAAAGATAAGACCTAAAATGTTTCAGTCCAGATCTCTTGACGAATGTTATAATTTTATTTAAAACCTCTACTAATCACAAATTAATTACTTCCTGAAAATAAATAAACTTAACCGCAATACATAACCCGAATTTCCGACCCGGTTCAATGGATTTTGAAAAAAATAAAACGCATGCGCACTCGTGTGTCAACATTTGCAAGAAATGCCTCAAGTGGGAGTCAGGCTAAAGCGCGAAAATTAAAGTTACTCGGGCAGTTTGAATCAATCAATCAGGACGACATTATGTTTACTTCAAAGTTCTATTGTCTCAGAAGTATATATCAGACTGTCCCCCTCTTCATTCCAAAATAGAAAACAAAATGAATTTTACAAGATTCCGATGGTCTCACAAAAAGAAAAAAAAAGAGAAAGATTATTGAAAACCATCTTTGTCAAAATGTTTCTAATCAAAAAATTATACAGTTAGTGAATAACTACAGACCTATACAATCGATGTTATCCAGAAAAGTGTACGAACGTCCAATGCCAATATTAGTTAGCAAACAGGTAAGTTGTTTTAATTATTTGCCGTTTAATGATATGTAAATGTTTCGAAAAAAAAGAAAAATGTTTTATTGATATTTAATAATCCCTGCTTAGTAAATTATCTACTCCTGCATAAAACTAAATGGTGTTACAAATATTTTGTTACGTTCGTCTTTCACATGGAGAAAGTCCACGTAGAATTCTGGATTTTTTAACGTGGGCTCGAAAACTAAGTTCTTTTACCGTTAGAAAAGCATCTTACGTTTATTATTTATTAAATTAGTATGATCTAAGAGCGAGTAGCGGAGTACCCAGCCGAGAACTGAACCCCTTTGATAGCAAAGTGATCTAGGAGACGATTTTACTAAACATCGCAGAACAGTAGGCAACCTTATAACTCCTCCTACACATATGTATCTCCATCGATAAAAACATTACTTTAGCTCGATTAAGTCCTAGAGGACGAAACGCGTTATACAGAATTTTTCCACTTTGTCATTCAGTTAAATTGTTCTGATATATATAGAAAGTTATATGTAATATTCTCCCATATAAACTTTTCAAGTAAATTATCTACTCCTGCACAAAATTAACTGATGCACTTCTTACAAATGAGATCAATATTTTACTACAGGTATTTTTAAGAACATTGTTTTCAACCTCTTTATTTTTACTTTAGGGTCGCGCACTTGTAGAATAACAAAAAATCTGAGGTGCCCTTTAAATTGTAATAAGGAAATTTTTTCCTTATTAAAGTCATTAAATTTGAAATTTCGGTTTAGTATTCCCAAAGAAGATTGACAGTATAGTTTAAAGGAATTTAAGAAGAATGTGCTATTTTTTTTTTTTTTAGAGAGACCAATTTAAATCCCTTGAGGAAATCAAAAGGGCAAGAATTATCCACTCCTTCTTAAAGGTTAAAAAAAATTAGCATCCAATTTCAAATATCAAATGACAAAGGCTTGATTTAGACATGAAAACCACGCAATCTATCACGAAGTGGCATGCCACTAGCATTTACCCCTGGTGGCCCGCTGTTGGCCCGCTGGCGTGTTCCTCTCGGCAATGTTACGACTAGCGGACCCATCGGTGTCCCGCCTGTGGCCTGCGTGTGGGCCACTAGCGGCTTGCGTGTAGGGTAGTGTCTCGAGCTTTTAAAAATAAAGATATTTTTAAATATAAAAATAATTAATAAATTACACTTTTGTTAATGCGGAGCGCACCTGGCTACCTTTCAGGGCGCACCGGTTGAGAAACGCCGTTATAAAGTATCGTCTTATATCATTTTAAACTAATTTAGTCTAAAATATATTTGGATTTTTTTTTCAATAGATAAAATAATTCTGTTGGTTTTCAATTTTACAGTTTCAATCTATAAAACAAGATTGGCTCCATATTCAGTTTCCGGTTGTATTGTCGCTGATGAAAGTCTCCGTTGCCAAGATTCCATACATTGGTTACATGCCTCACATGAATCAAATCTCGGGGAACAGACGGCTTTCACATTTTCTTTTCTATTCTAACCACTCAACGCCATTTTATTCACTCATTCGACGAATTCCAACAAGAAATAAATACGCTGTTACTAGTAAAAGTAAAAACATGACATTTTCCAATGCCTCAGTTTCAACAAGATTCTAAATTTGCTAAAATATCTATTCTCTCTCTTATAAATAAATAAATTTATTATTAGTACTAATGCATTCAAATACTTACAATATATATATATATATATATATATATATATATATATATATATATATATATATATATATATACACTACGTGCCAAATTATTATCGAGATAACTTTTTTCTAATATTTCAAAAACCATCAAATCAATTCACACAAAATTTTCACACGATGTTGGCAACACTGGCCTGCGCAATCACTGAAATTTTTGTACTGATCTGCGCAATGTAAACAAACTGGCACCATATTTGTTATTAGCGCGGTGAGTTGAGCGTGCCAAATTATTAGAAAGGTTTAGTAAAATTCCCAGAATTGAGCAAACAAAACGTTTATTAATGTTGCACGTGAATGTTTATGATCAAAAGAAGCTAATAAATAAGATAATCAAACAAATAATAACAGATACAAACAAAGGCACAGTTTTAAACAAATTAATAGGGAATGTGCTTTCCCTGTTTTGAAATTACTTAAAGAAGTTGACAATCCATAGAATTTGTTAATTGTAGGATGTCATCTGCTGTAATACCGCGAGATATGTCAAGAATTGTTTCCCAGAACTCAGCATTGCTCCTGAATTTTCGTCCGTTGGCGTACACTCTTCGCTTTCTGATGCTCCAAAAGTTTTCGATTGAGTTCAAATCCGGAGAATTTGCTGGCCACTTCATTTTTCGAGGTCTATCGA